CGGGCATAAAAAAAAATTCTTTTTCTTGCGATCACTACAAATAATAATTAAAGAATTAAAAACAGATGCATATATTATCTACAGCCGATACACAACTCTTGTCTCGGAAACCTCAATCAATAGTTTTGACTTGTTTCAATTTAAAACCGGTGTAACGAAAAATATTTGCAAAATGTACCTAAATGATTGTCATTGTCAAACATTATTGTCCTTATTAGTTGTCGGAACAATACTAAATACCCCACGTATACTAGATATAATGAAAACAATTCAAAAAGTTGCAACGACTTGACAAAAATCTTAACTTCTCTAATAGGAACAAAAACGGTACAACTTGAGATTTTAATGTACATTAAAATGTATTTTCTGATAAGACAAAATCTCCGACGCAAGATCCTTAAGTACTACATACATATTTAGATAAGAGCGAAGCGGTATTTAAGTTTCAAAGGACATCGCTGTAATGTCGTCGGCGCCGGCGAGGTGAACGATCGGAGACCATCCGAACATTCTCGAACGCCGGCAATCGTTATAATTTAAATGCCTTATAATATTTATTCACATTCTGCGAATCGAAGAAGTAATATTTTCAACGGCTCTTAAAGGTTTTTATTTGTCATTATATACCCATAATAAATTTATATTTCAAACAATTATTTGTTATAATGTGAAGCAATGACTAATGCACGTGACAACGTGTGTTTTCCATCACTAGGAGGGTATTTATAATCTTGATTCAATACAAAAGGAAAACCCTGGTCGTGAGTGAGAAACGGTTTTGTGTATGTTAATATATTTCCTCGTGTAGTTAATTATTCATTGATTCATTGAAAGTACGTAATTTATTTCAAACGATATTATTAATGAATGAATAAGGTTTCATTAGGGAACTTCCCGTTTTACGATTTCGAAAGGAAATTGAAAATAACCATTAGTTTGTCAAACTTACTTCAAGGAATTTTGTATAACTTGTTCAACATAAGTTTTTTTTTCCGTCTCGCCAATTAATAGAAGAAATAAACCATTAGTATGGTGTTAAGTAGTAAGCGGATCTCCTAGACCTGTCACGTTTTGAATACCTCCTCCCACATTCAGATACAAGATCTAAGAGTGCTGGTAAATGATTACCGGAGCCCATAAACATCTACAACGTAAATGCCGCCACCCACGTTGAGATATGAATCCAAAGGTCTCAGAATAGTTACAAGAGCCTTCAAACTGAAGCGCATTACTGCTTCACGATTGAAAATAGGCAGATTGGTGGTACCTACCCATGCGGACTCACAAGACTTCCTACCACCAGTAATTACGCAAGTTATGCGGGTTTGATTTTTATTACACGATGTTATTCCTTCACCGTGGAAGTCAATCGTGAACATTTGTCAAGTACGTATTTGATTAGAAAAATTAGTACCCGCCTGCGGGAATCGAGCACCGTTGCATCGCTCGATACGAATCCACCGGACGTCTTATCTTTACGCCACGATGACTAAACGAATTGTTTGACTGTGCCTTAATAAAAAAAATAGTATTTGTCGTTTTGTGCAATTGTTTTTGGTGCTCGATTGTCGTTTAAATGAATGGTGGTATTGCTAACATAACGATAGTAGCAGCGAATTGATATAATATTTAGTTATAAAATACATTCATAGGAATTAACTGCTCTAATGACGTAAAACTATTATCGGTGCTTTTAGGTACCTCAAGCACCGGTCACCGTCCTCGCCGAACCCGTCACTTGCGACGAAGGGCCCAGCAAGTAAATTAACCCACAGACACAGCCCACTGAGTTTCTCGCCGCATCTTTTCAGTGGGTCGCGTTTCAGATCCGATGGTAGATTCTGCGAAGCACTGCTCTTACCAGGGGCAGTGTTAGCAACACCTCCTGGGTTGAGCCTCTAGAGCTCACCTACACGTTAGGGTAACGCTGATATAGTCTCTCTAGACCATCAGCTAAGGTAGGAAAAAAAGGAGTTAACGTGGTTCTGTACGCTTAGCGCACATCACAACCGTCTTTTGCCGATGGAGGTGACTCTCTTAGTTCCTACCCGCTTCTATTGCCATTGATCCTGGCAAACGCTTAAGTTTGTCTTGAGATAGGTGCCGGAAACAATTGTGTACGAGTATATGTGTTAATATATCAGAGTGCTTAGTGTGAGTCTTATAACCTTCTGGATCGCGTAAAAGCTAACTCAAATTTGTATGGAGTTGGAACAGCTGCCCTTCGTCTGCCGCTAAGCACACTGATCATAATGATAGCCAAATTCCTAAAATAGGCATCGGAGCTCCTATGCATGAGTTATCTTGTTTAGGCGAATTCTTAACCACCATTTTTTTTTCACGATTTTCTTAAAGAAACTTTCAAATGCACGAAAGTGTAGAAGTGTTTTTAATCTCACCTTTTAGTCGCCTAAATTACTTAGAAAATTTATTAATTTAGGTATTTTATTTAGTAAAATGCTGTTGACGTTATTAATAAAATGAATTTGACCAGGATACACCTGAGGCCATGGAAAATTAATTTTAATGTATTCTCTGATCTGCGTTCTAAATTCGGTTGTAAAGACTTTTCTAGCACAAGTCTTTTTCATTTGTAGCATGTAGTAATGTAAAATTGTCGTTTGTAGTTTTGTTTGTATTCAAGTTTGGTCGGTGTTATGATGCTTCTGGCCTTGTTAATAACAATGCTATATTTATCGTGATTCGAGCAAATCAATTTAAAATCGATTTATTACATCTTCATCAGGATTATTACATCTTCCAATCTAGATTGGCGATCCAGCAAGCTCCAGTTTTTTTTCTTTTTTGCTGGAATGTGTAAATTTTTTAACATAGATAAATCTGAAAGTAGGTGTTTAAAAAAACAATAATAATTCATATGTAAACAAAACAAGAAATGAAACACTTTATAAATAGCTCGTAAATGCATTTTTAATGAACTCTAAACTAATTTAGTTTAATTATAGTTAAACACATTCCAAGTTTATCACCAGTGTTTTTACTTTTATGTTAGTGTAACTCCTTACTAAAGTGTAACCCTACAGTTTATTGGGGCTGATAATTAATAAAAGCAACGTGAAAAACCAACATCGAGAATTCGTTTTGAGATGCCTATTTAAGTGAGCTTTTTTAGTTCAAGTTTGGACGCCACAAAAATGTCAATACGTCATTACGTTATCCTTCAATGTTCCAGTGGAATACATGTAATTGGCAGACTCTTGCCTCCATAGTACAGTCATTAGATTTATCTAAACGATTGCTGATAATGATATGCGATAATGATTTTCAAAGTACGCATAACACCGATCAAACAGCATTTGATTTAATCAAAACCTCGGCTCCGAAGAGTAACAACTTATCAAAATTCAATGAGATAACAGAAATCTTTGCATTAGTAATTATTATCTTTAATATCCAAAAAGAAACAAGTCCCTAGTATTGCTTAACTAGTACATATTTTTTTAACGAGTGACATATTTTTCTTCCGCAAACGATTTTGAAGTTGCCATGTCTAAAGGTTAAGAGTCCGATTTTGCTTAGTAAATGTGGACTAAAAAAATGAAGGCCCAATTTTTATAAATTCGTAATTAATGGTAGGGTTTATTGTAAGCCAGCCAGCCACAGAGGTAGCTATCACCCTGCTCCCTATTTCATACTGCGAAGTCATGTGTTGGAAGTCACCTACATGGGTAGCTACCACCATAGTGCCTATTTCTATTGCGAAGAAGTCGTGTGTCAATTAGATTTCGATCTCATATCACAAGGTGTCTGGTAGCATTCACGGTGCGATGTATATATATCGGATCACAATAAGACCACAGCTTCAGCACAAAAAATTACGGTGTCAATCAAAGAATAATTTAAAAGAAAAACTGAAGGTTTTAAGGAGGAAACATTTATTTTAGTGCGTTATGTGCTTTCCCAAGTTTTCTTTCTTCTTCAATAAACGGGTCATCTCAAGCACCGGTCACCGTCCTCGCCGAACCCGTCGCTTGCGACGAAGGGCTCGACGAGTAAATTAACCCATAGACACAGCCCACTGAGTTTCTCGCCGGATCTTCTCAGTGGGTCGCGTTTCCGATCCGGTGGTAGATTCTGCGAAGCATTGCTCTTGCTAGGGCCAGTGTTAGCAATACTCCGGTTTGAGCCCCGTGAGCTCACCTACACGTCAAGGAGAAGCTGAAATAGCCTCTCAAGGTATCAGCGTAACATCCAGCTTTGCATTTCCTAATTATGTTATTAGTTGATATGTTTGAGTTGTTACTCTTATGGAGTTGAAGTAAGGTAGTGTGTTTTAACTAAGTGCTGTGCGTGAATACAATTTTGTTGGCGCTATTTAGTTAGTATGCTGTTTGTTTTTGTTTGGTTTAGTTAATCGTATTAACTGTAGCAATTAAAAAAATGTAGTTGTTTTTGTCACAGAATGTCGTTGAATTGTGTGTAAAAATATACTTGCTAAGTTTTCGAATCATACTATAGTTATTTGAAAGAAAGAAAAAAAAATCATCAACTTGTAACTGTTTACGGGTTTTGATGATTATCTGTAAAAGTTTCACAATCACAAATCCCCGAGACAAAAAACGATGCCTCAAATTAAACATTCAATGTTTCAACGACGGATAAAGGAAGCAAGGACTATTCTTGCAAAAAAAAAATATATATATATATATATCGTGTATCATAGATTTATCACTATGGTTATTTTTGGACTGATATCTTTAAAAATATTTGGTCTAATAATTATAGTTTTTATAGTTGGGACTCTTAAGAAGGCAAAGGACTCATTTGATATGGATTCAAATAAAAACATTTTTTTCTATTCATTTGGGGGTGCTATAACATCTTAACAGTTTTTCGTCGTCGGGGAAATGTATTGTAACATTGGAAACATTTGGATTTTTGGTAACAGTAAGCATTAGCAATTGTTATTGTATGCATCGTTTACTACGCCAATAAGTACTTAATAAATTGTACTCATATATTCTTTTAAATATCCACAGTTACATCCTAAGGCAATTAGGTCACGGCGATCTGATTAAGAATGTAAGTATTATGTACTATAAATACATATTTTTGTAGAAGCGCAGGGACCTTTCATTCATATCATTGGAATCTTTCTGCTGCTAGATCATTTTGAGACCCAACGGTGTACAAGGCAGTCATCAACACATGCTATACAATACAATTGATACTTTGGGCTCATGTCACGAGGTGGATGACGACATTGGTTTTGTCTTTTTTGTTGTTATTGCCCGTGTAGGCAGACGAGCATACGACCCACCGGATGATGAGTGGCTACCGTCGCACATTGACGTCAGCAATGCCAGGGTCAGAGCCAAGCCGCGGTCTACCGTTTATACTGTCTTTTTTTTTTGGAATACTCAAGCCTTGAATCGTGAAACGCGAAAACTCTTGGCTTTCTCTTTCCTATTTCTCATTTTATAGCTGTTGGTCTTCATTGAAATAAATAAGTAAATTAAAAAAAAAATACATGGTGGAGACGAATCTTGCGAATACTTGGCCAGATTATTTTTCCCTATGTAGCAGGTCTAAAAGTCTCAATTTTCTAATATAAGGGCCGTTTCTTCAAAATTGGTACACATTAGTGCTTGGGGCCACAATATGGCGTGATTAGATCACAACGCTTCTTACCGCCAGGAACTATACAAATTACCTTAGCTGATAGTATATAATCAGCTATACAAAATTCTGTCCGAGCGTAACTCGTTGGCCCTTAGACTTAACCACCGATTAGGCAGGGCAAAGCCTTTGATCGCCCACTTGTCACGGTGAAACTGGAAAGGCCTTCAGGCCACCGGTAATACAGCCTTCATAAAAAAGGTAGGGCAAAGAAAATGCACAATTAAAACATGTACCATTGATTAGATGCCGGAAAACCGGGCATTGTCCGGTTTATGCTCTGGGATCATAGAAGCGTTCGATTTATTTGGCGTCCTCAACGCAGTGGTGCTGTTTGTTGTCGAGGAAGTGTCCTACAATATCTGCGACCAGAGGTTCCACGAGTTCGAGATATCGGAGAAACGACCCGAGATACAGGTTAGTGGACGTTGAGCAGAATCATGAATGTGTATCTGTGATTGTTTTACGGCCTTGCGGATTGTTGCAGGCTGAGGAGCCGTACAGTCTACCTAATGGTGGTCGGTTACCATCTCATGAGATCAGCAATTACTGGTGGTAGGACCTCTTGTGAGTCCGCGCGGGTAGGTACCACCAACCTGCCTATTTCTGCCGTGAAGCAGTAATGCGTTTCGGTTTGAAGGGTGGGGCAGCCGTTGTAACTATAGTTGAGACCTTAGAACTTATATCTGAAGGTGGGTGGCGCATTTACGTCGTAGATGTCTATGGGCTCCAGTAACCACTTAACACCAGGTGGGCTGTGAGCTCGTCCACCCAACTAAGCAATAAAAAAATAAAAAATAAAAATTCACTGCCTACCGCTAAGTTTCATCCGCAAGTTTGTAAAATGGTTTGAATAGCGCTCAGAAAACACCGTGGAGGGGAATCGACTGTGTATAGATAGATAGATGCAACTAGATATAAATGGATAAAAAATGTGTTGTAATACGCCAAAACTAGCGTCTTTGTTTCGATGCGAGCAACAACAACGAAATTAATGTAATATTGAATACCTTTTTGTAGATTTATAGAAAAACCTTAAACGAAATTTACGAAGAGACCGAACTGAACGACAAGAAGCAACTAATGTTGTAAGTAATTAGTTTATTAAAGTAGAATGTTCATTGTTTTATTAAAAACTAGCGTATTTAGGTTCTAGATACATAGATCTGCTTCTTGTAGTGAATACTAGCGACCCGCCCTCGCTTCGCTTCAGAAACTGTAATGTATTATTGATTTCTCCACTATTTAATGGATGTTATTATACATATAAACCTTCCTCTTCAATCATTCTATCTATTAAAAAAAACCGCATCAAAATCCGTTGCGTAGTTTTAAAGATTTAAGCATACATAGGGATATAGAGACAGAGAGAGAGACTTTGTTTTATACTATGTAGTGGTAACGTAAAAAAAGAGGCCTAGGGGGCGTAGTCCCATGCGCTGGTTCGATCAGATTAAGACGACTTTGGAATCCAGCATCAATGTCGCTATCCACTGCGCGGAGGACAGGAGTGAATGGAGGAAGATAGTCCTAACAAAAGTGCTCAGTAAAGGTCACGACCCTCAGAACTGAGGAACACGACGCACAGAGGAGGAGGAGTGATAACGTATTTAGATGCTTCTTATAGTGAATATTTAAAACAATCATGAGTACTTGAGAATATAAGTCACACGTCATATCGGATCCTCCCGATCCACTAACGGTGCTTTTAGGTACCTCAAGCACCGGTCATCGTTCTCGTCGAACCTGTCGCCTGCGACGAAGGGCTCGACGAGTAAATTAACCCTCAGACACAGCCCACTGAGTTTCACGCCGGATCTTCACAGTGGGTCGCGTTTCCGATCCGGTGGTAGAGTTGAGCCCCGTGAGCTCACCTACGGTAGGTTCTTCAAGGCAATGAAAGTAAAAGATGTAAGACATTTGCCCGAAAAGCCCCGACTTATCACGTGATTTTCCTTTGGCATTTTGTTACTTTAAATAAATTGATTAAAACAATATCATTATCGATCATTCAGTTTGATCACATCCAAATCTACCACTTTCTAATAGCTTTCTATAGAATAACACGAATATTGATAATAAGTGCTTGCGTTATGTAAGCAATACTTTATATGTGAAATCAAATCAAATAAAAAAATATATATATTCAACATAAATGAAAGTACACACGTCAAAAAGAACTACCCCCAATTCACAAAAACTAGCCTCCGTCCTAAGAAGAACTGGCAAGAAACTCAGCGGGCATGTCTTTTTTTTTCTAAATATTCATTCGAATTTGAAAAATTCAAATATTCAAATAAGGAACGAACGTATACAAGTGACATGTCATTGACAGGGACGGTCATCCCGTAGCAGTCGTTTACTACAGATCAGGGTACGAGCCGGCACAGTACCCCACCGCAAGGGAATGGGACGCGAGATTACGCGTCGAAAGATCCACGTAAGTTTTATTGACTGTGTCTTTTACAGCTGTATTAGTGTTCCGGCATACTTGAGATGTGTGGTTGATTATTATCGACGGGTGAAAGGCTTTTTTTTATTGCTTAGGTTTGTCGACGAGCTTACGGCCCACCTGGTGTTAACTGGTTACCGGAGCCCGTAGACATCTACAACGTAAATGCCGTCAACCCACCTTGAGATATAAGTTATAAGGTCTCGGTATAATTAGTTCGCCGGCCCTTCAAACGGAAATGCATTACTATTTCACGGCAGAAATAGGCAGGCTGGTGGTACTTTTTTCAAATATTTGTAAAAAATTATGTAGTGTTTTTACAAAATGTATCTACTTCAAATACCAAATGCGATAAAAGTATTTATTTTAATATAAGGATTAGTTTGTTAAATATTATCAGGTTAAATTATTGGGAACGCGAGGAGTGAAGTTGCGTGATTTGTTTTATTTTGTCTAATTGGTGTTTCTTCAGGTTTAAATGTGTAATAACGGTGGTTTATTAACTGTTTAGTATCTGCGAAAGTGCACAAATGTGGGAAAATGAAANAAATACCAAATGCGATAAAAGTATTTATTTTAATATAAGGATTAGTTTGTTAAATATTATCAGGTTAAATTATTGGGAACGCGAGGAGTGAAGTTGCGTGATTTGTTTTATTTTGTCTAATTGGTGTTTCTTCAGGTTTAAATGTGTAATAACGGTGGTTTATTAACTGTTTAGTATCTGCGAAAGTGCACAAATGTGGGAAAATGAAAGAAAGCCACTGAACGTAACTTCTCGGGATCTTCTAAAAAGTTCACTGAAAAAGTCTCAGTAAATGACCACCATTTTACTGAGATTATACTTCATCCCATATCATCTCATCTCATTTCATTTCATAATATCATTTCCATATAAAAAGCTACGTATCATTAAAATTAAAATAAGACTAAAGGACTAAAGGTCTTAGTTATCAGGTCATAAAAACCCTTAAAAAAAGGGATAAATTATTAAGGTCTAAAAATCACTGGTTTTACACACTACTATCTAAATTGGGTCTCTCACGCCTACAATATTAGCTAACTATTCGCAATATTGAAAGAACGGCACTTAAACACTAAAGAAATACGGTAATTTTTGTTAGGGCCATAAAATGTCCATCGATCCATTACCAACTGGCGGGAACGAAGAAGGTCCAACAAGCCCTGGCCGGTCCCGGGGTGCTGGAGAAGTTCATGGGCTCCGGGACGAGCACCTCTCGAGTCCGGGATATATTCACGGGACTGTACTCGCTGGACTTCGACGAGAGCGGCGAGAGAGCAGTGGAGATGGCACTGGCCGATGCCGAGAGGTTAGTTCATCGTAATACTATATTTATTATTTACTAGCGACCCGCCCTCGCTTCGCTTCGGAAACATTAAAACACACATGAAAACAAAAAAAATAAAATAAAAAATAAATTTAAAAAAAGTAGCCTATGTTTATTAGGGACAATGTCGGCTTCTAATGGAAAAAGAATTTTTCAAATCGGTCCAGTAGTTTCGAAGCCTATTCGAAACAAACAAACAAACAAATCTTTCCTCTTTGTAATATTAGTATAGACTAGTGGTCCCCGCAGTAGTCGAAATTCGACTATAATTAATTGAAATTATAAGTTTGAACATTGTTATTGGTTCTATTGTCAAAGGCTATTTATTATACTTCTATAATCACAGATTTCGCCAAGACTACACTATAGACAAATAGTGTTAAAGACAAACAATATTAATTTATTCTCAACTAGTTGACCCGGCAGACTTCGTAGTGCCTCAATCGATAAATAAAAAACCTAAACTTTTGTATAATAAAACTTAAAACAAACAAAAGGAATCCGTCCGACCGGGGACACATCAAAAAGAAAACAAAATTGTTTTTTTTATTTAATTCCGAGCATTTTCATTTTTATCTACCATTTAAACCTTCTCTAGACTTCCACAAATAATTAAAGACAAAAATTTGCAAAATTGTCCAGCCGTTCTCGAGTTTTAGCGAGACTAACGAACAGCAATTAATTTATATATATATATATATAGATTTGACCACAGACTTTAAAGAATGACAAAAGTTTCACAATTGATAATTTACAAAGAGTATATTTATACGTATGTGTTGTGTCAAATACATGATAGTGTGTGTAATGTTTTCTTTATTGATTTTATGTATCTTTTGTGCATTATTTAAAAAAAAAATTAGCATTGTGCACTTCTTCTCTATATTCTCTATAAGTGTGGAAAATTTCATACTCCTCCGTCCGCGCAATTTTCGTAAAAAGGGATACAAAGTTTTTGCTTCATGTATTAATATATAGATTTATTTATTTCATTTACTTCAGATTTTGTTGCATCCATATTATATTTATTAACATTTCATATAGTATACCGGAATTAAATAAAACAATAACTACAATCTCGGAATAGAACAAAAGCAATAATAATAATAATATAACAAAAAATAAAATAATAATAATAAAACAAAAACTCAAAATTAACGTCAAAACTACCTTAACCTAAAGGCTGGTTTGGATATTTATATACATATTAATTTTTTGATAATTTGTTTCATATATACTACTATTTTTTGTATATATTTTTTATTGCTTAGATGGGTGGACGAGCTCACAGCCCACCTGGTGTTAAGTGGTTACTGAAGCCCATAGACATCTACAACGTAAGTGCGCCACCCTTCTCTCCCGCACTCTCCTTCTCTATATTCTCCATAAGTGTGTGAAATTTCATATTCCTCCGTCTCCGTAAAAAGGGTTTTTTTTTATGATTGAATGATTGCTGGTGGCCCGGAGGCCGTTCCAGTTTCACCAGGACAGGTGGGCGAGCAAAGGCTCAGCCAGAAGGGGTGGGATTTGCTAACAGCTACTCGAACGCCTCCGAAGGAGACCTAACAACTCAAAAGCAGCTGCTTCGCGAATGAATCTACTACCGGATCGGAATCGCGACCCGCTGAGAAGATCCGACGAGAAACTCAGTGAGCTGATTCATGGGTTAGGTTGCACGGCGAACTCTTTGTCGGGTTCGACGAGTACGGTTATCGAGGTCCCTAAGCCTGCTTCTAGTGTTAGAGCTGAAGGCGTCTAATGCAAAGGTTATTGCATCTGATGGATCCGTAAGGACGTGCGTAAAAAGGGGTACAAAGTTTTTGGTTCACGTATATATAGATACATATACAGATACATATATAGATTTTTAAACTTTTTTTTGTTTTTTGTATAGATTCGTATTGAAGCCTCAAAGGGAAGGTGGCGGGAATAATGTGTACGGTTCGGAAGTGAGGGACGCGTTGACTCGCATGCGACACAGCCGGGAGCGAGCCGCGTACATATTGATGGAGAGGATATTGCCGCCTCTGGTAAGGATTTTTTTTATTTATTCCTTAGATTGGTGGACGAGCTCACAGCCCAACTGGTGTCAAGTGATTACCGGAGTCCATAGACATCTACAACGTAAATGCGCCACCAAACTTGAGATATAAGTTCTAAGGTTTCAGTATAGTTAAAATAAAAAAATACAATCTATATATGTATATAAAAATGAATTGCTGTTCGTTAGTCTTGCTAAAACTCGAGAACCGCTGGACCGATTTGGCTAATTTTGGTCTTGAATTATTCGTGGAAGTCCAGAGAAGGTTTAAAAAATATGAAAATGCTTGGAATTATATAAAAACAAACAATTTTGTTTTTCCTTAGATGTGTCCCCTTGATGTGTCTTTTATTTATCGATTGAGGCACTACGAAGTCTGCCGGGTCAGCTAGTAAAACAATAAAAATCAATAGAAAAATAAGATTACTGATATGACTGCTGGAGACTTATTAACATTAAAATCTTCTATTGGAACTATTTTTCATGACCATCGACTTAATGTCCAGATAATGTTAAACTGTTACCGCAACTATGAGTTCCTGTCCATCTTAGGAGATAACTCGAGTCTTTTGTAAGTACATTCTTGGAAGTCGTCGTGGCCTAAAGGATAAGACGTCCGGTACATTCGTATTGAAGCGATGCACCGGTGTTCGAATCCCGCAGGCGGGTACCAATTTTTCTACTGAAATACGTACTCAACAAATGTTCACGATTGACTTCCACGATGAAGGAATAACATCGTGTAATAAAAATCAAACCCGCAAAATTATAATTTGCGTAATTACTGGTGGTAGGACCTCTTGTGAGTCCGCACGGGTAGGTACCACCGCCCCGCATATTTCTGCCGTGAAGTAGTAATGCGTTTCGGTTTGAAGGGTGGGGCAGCCGTTGTAACTATACTGAGACTTTAGAACTTGTATCTCAAGGTGGGTGGCGCGTTTACGTTATAGATGTCTATGGGCTCCAGTAACCACTTAACACCAGGTGGGCTGTGAGCTCGTCCACACAATCTAAGCAATAAAAAAAAAAAAAATTAAAAATTCACACGGTGCGCATTCTATAAATGATGTGTCGTAATTGTTTTGATAATTTTCAGGTATCAGGGTACATGATAAGGCCGGGGGCGCCTGTCCCACCGCCGCTGGTAGACCTCGTGTCGGAACTCGGAATATTTGGGGTCATTATTGGGTATGTGCGATCCTTGTTATATATGTAACGCTTGTATTGGAGGAGCGAGGCATGCTAGCACCGGAGTCCATGGACATCATAAAGTAATTCCTTCGACCTTCGAACCTGGACCTGAGACCAGGCAGCGGTGCCTATCCGGTCCTACATAATCTCCTGCCCTTCTCTCAGTTACCGGGGGTCAGCGCAACATATTTTCTCCTTCTATGTTCCTCTATCATATACCATTTCTTCGGTCACTCCCCTCTTACCCACATCGTCTTTCACGCAATCCATCCATTTCTTCTTAGGTCTACCCCTTCCTCTATATCCTTCCGCATTGATAGTTAACATTCTCTTACCAACCTCATTCTCATTTCGTCTCATCACATGTCCATACCATCCCAAACGCGCACTTCTCAGCTTCTCTGTCACGGGTGCCACTTTCAGACTTCCTCTAAAATATTTATTTCGTATTCTATCCATTCTCGTTACTCCACACATCTATCGCAACAATTGCATCTCTGTTGCATGAAATCGCCTTACATTACGTTTTCGATAGCGTAAAAGTTAACTCAAATTCGTATACAGTTGGAACGTTTACCTGCGTTTGCCGCTAGGGGCGCTGTTCCAACTGCATACAAATTTGAGTTAACTTTTACGCTATAGAGAACGTAGAAAACTCGCAATAAACACACTGAATATGAATTTGAATGTTTTTTTTTCAGTACGAAAGAGAAGATCTACTGCAATCGTCAGGTCGGTCACATGTTGCGCACCAAACTAGCCGACGCTAACGAGGGAGGTGTCGCCGCCGGACTGGGCGCGCTAGACTCGCCCTATCTACTAGACCTATAACGAACGCCCGTACAAACCATCTTATAAAAACACTATCCGTACCTGTCCGCTTCGCTGGGCATTTAAAATTATAATCATTATTTCTCACCCCCACAAAGATTCTCGTCATTATCGCCCCCGCAACTGGTGTAGGGAGTCCAACACTCATATAAATATTAGCCTATCCATTAAGTACATGTATTTTCTACATAGATACCAAGTTTCAAGTCAATCGGATGCACGGTTCAGTAGTTATAACGGAACATCCGTAAAAACCACTGTAGATTTATATATTAGTATAGATATGAGGTCTTTTTGGGAGTTTCCGGCGTAAGCAATGTCATTATCAAATTATCAAGCTAGAGGACGCCACTGTTCTATGAAGACAAAATATATGAGTTTGGTGTGTGAGGTCGCAACATTTGGTTTGTTACCCTAATACTGAGAAAATTTTAATAAGTGCATTTTTCACATACCACAGGTAGGATTCGATTTTTATTACAGATACATTACTGAAGAATCATATTTTAAAATATATGATCAAGATATAAATAGGATATGGCTTTTGCCATTGCTTATTATTTTAAGCACCTATTTAAATTTCAAACTCAATAAGTTTTAATAAATGGATAATAAATTAGATTTTCGAAAGAAAGAAGTCTTTATGACATCTTTTTTTTGAAGATTTTATAGCCTGGTAACCGAGACCTTTAATAAGCCAATTCATGTTTTAAACGTATTTTGATAGTTACGGGTAATACATTAATTTTATAATACCCTCTCTGATAAATTTTTTCGATATGTCAAATTTAAAGGACTTTATGTTACTTAGATTGATAAAAATCACTTGGGGTGCTGAGTCCACAGTTGTATGTCATGGGCCGTTTTCCAATTACAGCACAAGAGCGCATTATGCGGCACAATGCTCAACTAAGCTTCAGCATAATTCGGCATTGTGCGTCACTGAGTCGCAATAAGCTCTGTAATTAACCATTACTTAATGGTAGTTTTCCAATTACAGAGCATAATGCGACTCAGTGACGCACAATGCCGAATTATGCTGAAGCTTAGTTGAGCATTATGCCGCATAATGCACTCTTGTGCTGTAATTGGAAAACGGCCCATGTACCTATCTGACTCTTTAAACATCTTTAAACATTCTAAAGCAACAAGTACTTATGTTTGTCGACTGATTATTGATTGTTCTTGAAGTATATTTTAAATTTGTGTAACTGCACTCTTATATTCATTTGAAACAAAGTCTTTTACTTGGAACAGAATTCGCTGGAGTTATCTAAAAAGATATTTTAAAATTTTAATTATTTTTCAATAACATTCCTTTTGTTATTATTATTATTATGTTAGGGTTTTTTTTTATTATATTTTTACTTTAGATGAATTTTAATTTTATATAGAATTTATTACTTAATGATAAAAAATGGGCAATTATTATACCAAAGTGGGAATAATATAATGACCGAGGAAAGACTAGAATAGACGATAAACTGAAATAATGTGTTACGATAATTTGGTGCTAAATCGAACCGATTTTGTATAATAAAATTTATAGTTTAATAAATGTTTGTAATAAGTATTCGTTTTGTTTTATTTGTTAAAAATAAATAATAAATAATTGAATATGCAATTTCGAAAAGGGCACATGTCGCATATATTGTCAAATACGTTTTTTCATATACACGTAGTTTTGAGGCTTACCTACATCCATTTTATAATAATTCCAGTAATTTTCAATTGCTAATTAACACTAAAATATATCTAAAAAGTTAATATTTTAAATTTTACACTGCTTTAGAAAATAATCAGTTTTTTTTTATTTCCTGAACATATTACATTTTCAGAGATGTGCCCTTTTCGAAATTGCATATTCAATTAGGATCAACAAACCCCGCACGGTCATCCGGCACCAAATTAGGGTTCCCTGTGTTTTGAGTATCAGAGACTGATATACATACTTAAATACGTTTAAATGTATAGATAAATAATAAACAACCAAACAAAGAGTAAACCAACCTGTTAATCACACAAGTACTTAGTTCTTTTTGACGTTCAACAAGTGTATAGTTTCATTTATGTTGAATAAAAAAAAAATGATTTGAATTGAATGTTTGCCTGACGTGGGAATTGAGCCCAGGACCCTCGGTGCAACGCTTACTATTGCACCACCGAGTCAGGTAAAGGTAAACAGTTTGTTGCTTGGTGTAAATAGATCATTATTACTGGTGGTAGGACCTCTTGTGAGTCCGCACGGTTTGCTGTGTTTCAATGTTACCTAATTTTGTGTGTTCAATTAAGTATATAAAAGTATATATAAAGAGCTGTGGAGGGTCACTAAGCAGACACCAATGGAGAAGGAGATCCTTTCGCGGAAGTGGCATTGGATTGGTCACACTTTGAGAAAGCCCGATACCCACCTATCAAAGAGAGCACTGACCTGGAAAGTGTCTGGTAAAAGGAAGAGAGGCCGCCCCAGAACAACTTGGCGTCGCTCGGTGGAACAGGAGCTAGGGGTCTTGGGCATGACGTGGGAGGAGCTAGAACAGACTGCCCAAGACCGATATAAATGGAAAAATTTGATTCGAGCCCTACACCCCAGCAGAGGGTAATAGGAAAGCATGATGATGATGATGAATTAAGTATATACACACACACGCACACACACTCTCTCTCTCTCTCTTTAATTTTTTTATAATAGGTAATTCGTTTTACTTCATCATATTATACGTTATCTATACTTTGTACGTTACATGTGTTACATTTCACTATTATAACATTTATTTTGTTTTTTATTTAACCTTTTTTTAATTAGTATTTCGCTCAAGCTTTAGTTAGCCAAAAACTAATTAATCCGTTTACCTATTTACGTGTTACTTTATAATGTCAAAATTTTGTTTTGTTTGTTGTCTGTATACAATGTTACAATCCATGATAATAAATTAATATCTATATATATTTATATATAAAAATGAATTGCTGTTCGTTAGTCTCGCTAAAATTCGACAACGGCTGGACCGATTTGGCTAACTTTGGAATTATTCGTGGAAGTCCAGAGAAGGTTTAAAAAATATAAGAATGCTTGGAATTATATAAAAACAATTTTGTTTTTCCTTAGATGTCCCCTAGATGTGTCTTTTATTTATCGATTGAGACACTACCAAGTCTGCCGGGTCAGCTAGTCTTTTTATAAATTTTAATGTAAAGGAAATTTGTTTGTCTTATGTAACGTCTTAAGTACTTAACCGATCATCTTAAATATATCGTACATATTAGGGATACAAACAGTGTTTCCACAATGAGGAGGAAGTTCCCATTTGAAGGGAAATTATGGTCCATAGGGGGGAAAAAAGGGGAAATTGCGGGAAATCATGAGTAAATGGCATTTGGTGTAAATAATATTATCATAGTATAGTATCACCAGAGGCGTGGGTAGGCTATAGAAGAAAATCGATAAAGACCTTTTTTTTTATTTACTACACTAGGGCCAAAAGTGAAAACTACAGCAGAAAAATTGTTGAGGGGAAAAAAGCCCTGAGAAGGGGAAATTTGAATTGAGGCGTGGGGAAAGGAAATCATTTAAGTGGAAACACTGGATATAAAAGCGGACAAAGGGTACAAGTGAATCTGGGAAAAACTTCTATTAGTAGTAGTGGTAAAGAATAAAACACAAAATGTTTCATTTAATAATTATTTCATTAAATTAACAACAATCTAATATTGCACCAGTGTCTATATGTACTCGTGGTATTTGGGCAGCTTGTTCTTGAAGGTCACAGATTCGCCTGGCGCGTATCCCAGTTCGTAACGGAAGGCTGGGTGAGCAGAAATAACCTGAAAAAAAGTTATAAAAAAAAACTCAGACGTTAAACTTAGAAGCTCGTATTTATGGTTAAAATATTATTTATTACCGCACAAACATTATTTAATAAAAAATAAAAAAATTAACATGTTATAAAATTAGTTATAGTTAAAAACAGTTTTACATTTCTCGATAAAATGCGCTATGCTGTTTGGCACCAATAACGCAGCATCAGCTACAATGCTTACGATATCGGACTTCATACTTTATAGTTTAAAACTATTCTATTACTATAAAATTATCAAATTACTATAAAAATAATTTATAGGGGGTGCCATTTTCATTAACACTAATCATACCAACACTTACTGGTACCTATTTCCACCGTAGCGGGTAGATAATGGTATATGACAAGTATTACTCAAAATAAACAAAATAAAACAAAAAAATATAGTATAATAACTGTAGATTAATTGGTAAGCAAAAGTCATGAAGTCAAATCTGCAAAAGCAATAAGATGATACCGTGTGCATTTTCAATGCAAAAGTTCAAAATGGGTCATTTGACCCGTTATTTATACCATACCATATCTAGTGTTATACCTATATTCGTAATATAAAATGAAATTAAAACTATAGACACTAGGTGGCAGCACTTTAGTAAGCTGTATTGTAATTGAGTGTTCTTACTGTGTATAATAAAAGTGATCAAATAAGTTTGTACAGCTTCTAATTTTAATTCTTTTCAAAAAGAAATCGATAGCACAATAAAAGGACCTTTTTTTCCACAGGAGAAAATCGCCGGGTCCCCACCCGCGCGGCAAGTGGGGTGGGGCGTGGCGTGCATGGTATCAGTAGTTATAAATATTTTATGAACAGATATGAGTAGAAGGGCTATTTTGTTATACATATATCCTGAAAAGCACCCCACGCTTTTTTTACAACAATATCATTTTTTTTACACTATTTTTAATTCAAAGTTATTAAAATTTATTTTCTATTTTTTAGTTGGATTTTCTATAAAAGCGTATTTTGTTAGTTTTTTTAAACTATTATTTATTTTTCATTTTTTCAATATTTTTTTTAAATATTGAATTGTCATCGGTCTTAAGTATACCGAATTTCGAGTAAATACGACGTTTTGAAGGGGATCAAAATCATGTTCCAAGATTCCTTAACAAACATACATATGTCTGAAGCCAATAAAAGCTTATTAAAAAATATTAAACATTCATTCAATAAATGTTCACAATTGACTTACACGGTGAAGGGATAACATCGTGTAACAAAAATCAAACCCGCAAAAATTACAATTTACGTAATTACTGGTGGTAGGAACTCTTGTGAGTCCGTGCGGGTAGGCTCCACCACCCTGCCTATTTCTGCCATGAAGCAGCAATGCGTTTCGGTTTGAAGAGTGGGGCAGCCGTTGTAACTATACTTGAGACCTTAGAACTTATATCTCATGGTGGGTGGCGCATTTACGTTGTAGATGTCTATGGGCTCCAGTGACCGCTTAGCACCAGGTGGGCTGTGAGCTCGTCCACCTTCCTAAGCCATTAAAAAAAAAAATTAAACCTCCTCACCTTTTCTCTCTCGTAACAATCCTCGGCGCTAGTTATCAGCTCCGGTATGTCCAGTTTGGGGATGGCGAGCAGATTCATCAGCAAGTGCTTCTGGTTCGTGTAGAGCGCGCGCTGGTCGGCCCAGTCCACTTCGCGAGGCAAACGCCAGTCCTTCATCTTGGGCTCTTCACGCTCCGTATACTGGTCGAAGTTCAGTCGCTCTATGTCCTCGACGACCTGAATTTAAAATGTTTTATCAATGGTTAAGATGCCCGCAAGCTTTTTTTTTATTGCTTAGATGGAGCCCATAGACATTTACAACGTAAATGCGCCACCCACCTTGAGATGTAAGTTCTAAGATCTCAGTATAGTTACAACGGCTGCCCCGCCCTTCAAGCCGAAACGCATTACTGCTTCACGACAGAAGTAGGCATGGTGGTGGTACCTACCCATGCGGACTCACAAGACGTCCTACCCTCAGTAAGTACGCAAATTAAAAATTTTCAGGTTTCTTTTTTATCACAAGATTTTATTCCTTCATCGTGGAAGCCGATCGTGAACCATTGTTAGGTACGTATTTCATTAGCAAAATTGGTACCCGCCTGGAATTCGAACACCGATGCATCGCTCAACGTGAATGCGCCAGACGTCTTATCCTTTAGGCCGCGACGAATTTACAAAATTATATTTGTGTTTGTGTAAGCCAACCATTCTTAATAATGCTAGATATTCCCACAATTTTCATATAGAAGAAATCATTTTATTAACTTATAAAGAATAAGAAATGAACAAACCACTTCGACTTCACCTCCTCCGGTCCAGTCGTACACGAGCAGCTCTGCATGAGTGGCGATATCTCTCAGATACTTGTTTTTGTACTGCTTCTCAATTTCAGTCAGGAAGGCCGGTGTGAGAGCTTTGCTGGTCACCTCGTGACTGAGAGCACGTTTTTTAATAGCTTCTTGAACCTGTAAAAGTTGTACATGCACTGTACCGGAGTGTATCTATACTAATATTATAAAGCTGAAAAGTTTGTTTGAACGCGCTTATCTCGGGAACTACTGGTCCGATTTGAAAAATTATTTCAGTGTTAGATAGCTCATTTACTGAGAAACTACTACTACTATACTACTTACTATATAACATCACGGTAAGACCAATACAAGTGGGGCACCAATAAAGAATGTCTCAAAATAGGGGTTTAAATAGCTTCTTAACATTCTATAATTCAAAAATATTTACANGTTTGAACGTGCTTATCTCGGGAACTACTGGTCCGATTTGAAAAATTATTTCAGTGTTAGATAGCTCATTTACTGAGAAACTACTACTACTATACTACTTACTATATAACATCACGGTAAGACCAATACAAGTGGGGCACCAATAAAGAATGTCTCAAAATAGGGGTTTAAATAGCTTCTTAACATTCTATAATTCAAAAATATTTACACTTTCTACATAAATGAAGTAGAGGGTAAAATTTTGCATTACGCCAAAGTAACTATTCCACGCGGATGGAGTCGCGGGCAAAAGCTAGTATAATCATAGAAATGTATTTTTTCATTACACATAGGGGCAGACCAGCATGCATCCTGCCTGCAAGTGAGTGCTTACTGTCACTCATGGACTTTAGCAATGACAGAGACACTGCCAAGCATCTGCCTACCAATGCCAATTAATATAGGTATATAAAATATACACTAATGTGACTGACACATTTACCTATTAACATCAATCTACAGAAAACTCATGAACCTTATTTTATATATTTTAAAGATTGAATAATTAAATTAACTTTAAATTGATGACGACTGTTTAAGTTATCCTATATACTAGAGACCCACCCTCGCTTCGCTTCAGAAACTGTAAGTTATTATTGATTTCTCCACTATTTAATGGATGCTACTATACAAATAAACCTTCCTCTTCAATCAGTCTATCTATTAAAAAAAACCGCATCAAAATCCGTTGCGAAGTTTTAAAGATTTAAGTATACATAGGGACAGACAGATATAGGGACTGAGAAAGCGACTTTGTTTTATACTATGTTTTTTTTTTATTGCTTAGATGGGTGGACGAGCTCACAGCCCACCTGGTGTTAAGTGGTTACTGGAGCCCATAGACATCTACAATGTAAATGCGCCACCCATCTCGAGAAATAAGTTCTAACGTCTCAAGTATAGTTACAATCTTCAAACCGAAACGTATTACTGCTTCATGGCAGAAATAGGCAAGGCGGTGGTATCTACCCGCGCGGACTCAAGAGGTCCTACCACCAGTAAAAGTAGTGATTACAAACCTTGGAAACAGGAAGATCCAGATAAATAACTAGATGTGGACGCATTAGCTCCTCAATTGTGTTTTCTCGCAGCTCATAGTAAGTTGACCTGACTGCCTTACTCAAGAATTTCTGAGAATACATAGCTTCCAAGAATACAAAGTCAGAGTAAGGGGACCTCTCCAACACAATTCCTTGGCCAGTATTGAACAGGTGTGCCAAAGCATCAATATACTGACTGTACCGGGCCACATACATCATTATTTGGAAGTTTGCAGCCAAGCGATGGTTAGGATTCTGATTGAAATTAACATGGTCAAAGGTCCTAGTGTCCTCGGGTACTTGGTCGTCGAAGGACCTCAAGTCGACGCCGTTCGGACGAATATAGTGCAAATCCATGTTAGCTTCGGGGAAATGCTTCATACCCAAGTCATCGGCTAGGGAGGCTGCAAAGGCGGTCTTACCAGCAGCTACCGGCCCTTCCACGATTATCACTTTGCTGTTATCATCAAACCTGTGGGTCGTGCGGTCGATTAAGCTGCGCAACCAAGTGTAGTCCTTGTTCACATAGTCAAAGGGTGCAGGTTTCGGTGGAGGAGGTGGTAGCGCTTCCCGCATGGCCCGCCCGGAGATATTCCTATTTTGTACAAACGTACATGCTGCTATTTTTGTACCCTGAGTTGGGCTGATAACTTTAATTACAGCTGTTCTGACGAGAGTAGCCATTGTGGCTAATGTACCTTATGAATTGTGAAACTGTGAAATATTAAATAATTTCGAATGATTAGGTATTTGAATCATAATTTGAAGTGTTTATCTTAAATAAATCACTTTTTCTCACCTCAAATCAATACATAACAACAAATCGCAGCTAGAAGATTTGTGACATAACCATTTCAATACGTTCTGAAACAGTTAGGTCATAATGTTCATAATAAGTGTATAAGCTATGAGTTAGATAAAGTTTTTTTGCAATAGCAGCGTTGAATTCTCCCAACTTTTAATAAACGTTAAAATTATTTTTAAGTACCTAAGGATTTAAAAAAAAATATATTTATTTATGCCGATCGAAACTTATTACACATTTAGTAATAGTTCAAAAACCCTTTTTTGCTATAATATATTTTTGAACGCTTTTCGCTCGGATTATGCACTTAAACATAGATTATAGCTCTTAGAGTCAAACTGAAATTACCAAATATGGAGAGTATAGGCGTTGGGCAGGACACCTTGCGAGATATACGGATAAAAGATGGACATTAGAAACCACAACATGGGAAGGACCAGTGGGTAAAAGAAGAAGAGGCCGACCAAGGGGCAGATGGATCGACGAAATAATAGCAGCAACTGGAAAAGAATGGAAAAATAAAGCCAAGAATAGGAAGAGTGCAGTAAGCTGGAGGAGGCTTATACCCAAATGGGGTTCCACTAACACAATTTTTTATTTGATAAGGTGTTTTATCTTTCTTTGTTTTTGGAAATAAAATGGGCTTATTATTATTATTTATCTGTGAAAGTGTACAAATGTGGGAAAATAAAACAAAGCCGCTAGACGTAACTTTTCGGGATCCTCCAAAAAGTCCACCGAAAAAGTGTCAGTAAATGACCACCATTTTACTGAGATTATATTTCATCCCATATCATCTCATTTCATGCCACGGTTCACATTAATTAACTTCATTTCATTTCGTATCATTTTTTATATATTTAATAATATATGTATATATAAAAGATTAGGCAGTATGGTATAATGCCTTTGCCTTTCCAGTTGGAAAAATAAAACTACTACTACTATGTTAACGTCAACGGTGTCAAAGTCAACAGCACATTCTTTTTGTTTTCCAACACGTGAAACATGTGATTGTTTTATTTTGTAATAAAATATAATCTCAACTGATATTTAATTACCATTAAATTTCACCTAAGCGACGAACCTTCTCACAAAATGGAAACGGAGAACATAAGTGTTGATGATTTTTTGCCGGTTAAAAAGACGGTGAAGCTTAAAAATATAAAGCGCAAAGCTACAGATGACACCGGAGATGGTATGGAGGTTGAAGAGCCCACCATTGGGGAAAGCAATCCAAAGAAGCCTAGAAGGAATCGAAAAAAACATAAAAAAAGTTCAGACCCTAATGAGAGTAAAGTTGCAATGCGAAAAGTTGCGGTCCCAGCTCACAGGTAAATTAACCTACAAAACTTCGTAAATGAACACACGAACAATTGTCATAAGGCCAAAAAGAATAATAATTGTACCATTTAATGATTGAACCACTTTGATTTAATCATGTGTCAGAGTTCAATCTGTCATGTTCTTGTTGAGTTCATTGAAAATGACGAGACATGCCACCTAACCCAGGGAGATAACTTACTGAGTTTTTCACTCGATCTTCTCAGTGGGTCACGATTCAGGTCCAATGGTAGATTCAGGTCCAGTGGTAGATTCAGCGAAGCACTGCTGCTCTTCCTAGAGTAGGTGCTAGTAACTTCTCTTAGGCTGAGACCTTTAAGCTCCTACTAGTTAGAATGAAACCAAAATAACTTCTTGAGCCTACCGGAGTTCATTAACTTGAGGAAAAAAAAAGAGTAGGTTCTAAGTCTAATAAAATATGTACTCATCTTCTTCAGTGACTTCTATGCAGAGGGAATAACATTGTGTAATAATGTAGTAAGTAATACTGAATATATTAAATTACTGTAGATTGGGGGGAATCGGGACCCTTTTCAAATCCAACACAAATTTTCAATGGTTTTTCTTAGGGTAATACTAATAAAATTGAGATTAAAATACTTCAAGAAGCTTACATTTTTATATATAATGCATTATTATACATAGTTCATTGCAAAATATACACAAAAACTGAAAAAACTAGCTTGATCTGATTCACCTTGGTTTGGGGTGAATCAGGTTATGTATGGGGCAATAGAGTTTTTTGTCATGGCCGGCACTATTTAGTTGTTCGTAGGTACCTAACTTTAGGTAATTAACTTTTTAAAATATTTAATTAGAGTTAAAAAAAATTGATGACTAAATTAAACTATTTAATATTCTTAAACACTAATTAAAAGTAATTTTCAGTTTTACAAATGCTTAAGAACATTATTTTTATACAACATTATTATATTGTACAAATTGTTAAATTTAAATGTAACTCAAAAAAAGTATAGTGACATCGAGATTTGTCTCTATTTTACCTCTAGTCCCTATTCCCTCCAGTCTACTGTACTGAAGAAAGCTGCACCAAACTGCAATGAAATTTTTCTATTTGCACAACTATTATCCAATTGAGACTAATACCTCAAGTCTCAAGGGGGGTAGGCGGGTGTGTCACACGAGAAAGACATATAATAATAATATGAAATTTGTTTTAAGATATACACCACTTAAAGAAAGCTGGCTGAAGATTTTTACCCCGATTGTTGAACACTTATTGCTACAAGTAAGGTTTAACACGAAAACAAGAAATGTAGAGATAAAAGTTGGACCAGAAACAAAAGATATAGCAAATTTACAGAAAGCTGCTGATTTTGTAAAGGTAATTTTTGTTATTATTAAGAGATATGGAACAAGGGATTATGAACAGTACCAATAATAGATCAGTATACCTTTAGAATTGAAGTGGCTTAACTAAAAATTTTAAGAAAACGAGTTTGATACTTTGATCTGTGTACTTATGTATTTTATTCACTATAATTCTATAAACACTTCTATTCTATAAACATGTATTCTATGAGGGCATAAAATTACATTTTGTTAATTTAAAATTAAAGTTAAATAAGTTCAAAGTATACTTTCCAATTCTTTTAAATCTAATGCATACCTTAAACCACTATGCTGCCCGTTTCTGCTGTGCAGCAGTAATGTCGGTTTGAAGGGTGTGGCAGCCTTGCAACTATACTGAGACTTTAGAACTCATATCTCAAGGTAGGTGGCAACATTTATGTGTATGGGCTACGGTAACCACTTAACATCAGGTGGGCTGTGAGATCGTCCATCCACAAAAGCAATGAAAAAAAAAAAACGAAGGTATGCACTTTAAGCTTAAAGTATTAAAATCAAAATTGAAACATGACAATTCTTTGGTATCTTTCTTATATAAAAAACAAGACTTCTGTATTAAGCCTTCAATTCTAAAGGTGCCATATATGTACAAAGAAGATCAATGTTTCATATCTGGGAACAGTTTCTTGACAACTGACTTTTTTTTTTACTTTGAATGATCTTTGACAGTGGCATACCAGTAGATTGCAATAATGCTAACCAAAAATTGCAATGTAGATTAATGTGGAACTACATACTTAAATTTCATTCTAAAAAAACACATTAACATTAGCGATATAAACTTCTAATGCATTAGTTAACTATTGCTATTATTATTTAAAGAATATAATTAATCAACAATAATATTTATTTATATATACAAATAATGTCTGCATGTTTATATATGTGTTGATTGTAAAAGTACTGATGTATATTTCATCAGCTCTTATTTATAGTTGTTTTTAGAAGAAAGAAAGTTTTTTTAAGCTTCACTAAGTCTGAATGCCTTGAGAAATACAATTCAACGTGAATTAATTGTATTTCTCTACATTTTAAAGATATCACTTATATATATTAGTAGTTACTTAGATATTGTTTTTGAAGAAACAAAGTTGTTTTTAGAAGCTCTTATTTATAGTTGTCTTTAGAAGAAACAAAGTTTTTTTAAACTTCACTAAGTATAAATGCCTTGACAAATACAATTCAACCTGAATTGTATTTCTCTATATTTTAAAGATATCACTTATATATATTACTAGTTATTTAGATATTTCTAGTTGGATCAATAGATAAAATGTAATTTTGTTTCTCATTTCAGGCTTTCATATATGGTTTTGAAGTTGATGATGCCTTAGCGTTGCTCCGGCTAGATGATTTATTTGTCGAATCGTTCGAGGTTAAAGACGTGAAAACACTAAATGGTGACCATTTAAGTAGAGCTATTGGTCGTTTAGCTGGCAAAGCTGGTCGAACAAAATTCACAATTGAAAATGTAACAAAAACAAGAATAGTACTAGCAGACTCAAAAATTCATATATTGGGCAGTTATCAGAATATTGCTTTGGCAAGACGGGCTATATGTAATTTGATAATGGGATCTCCGCCTTCAAAAGTTTATGGGAATTTGAGAAACGTCGCTAACAGAGTGGCTGAAAGAATATAGTTGTAAAATGTATTATAAATAAATCTATGTATTTATATGAGTGGTAATTTCATTTTGGATATTATCTAGCTTAGAGAATACATTGCAGTAAACGTCTTGGTTATTTAAGGTACTGCCCTACATATTATTGGTAAAATACAAGCATAGTAAATAAATATTGTTTTCTGTTGAATGCAGAAAACCATATTTCGGTCTCTTAATAAAAAAGATTCTTGGTAAAGGGGCTATTCCAACTGCTCACGGACTGGAAATGATTGAATTTAAATAAAACATCACATTTAATAATCATATTATATCGTTTTATTCATTATCTTGTTACAAGTCTTAATATTAATAGTATATAGCTTAAATAGCTTGAATGCTGTAATCTGTATTTATGTCAATGGATAAACCCGAAAATCTAAGATTTTACTATCGCAACTGCCGTAAACTAACAACGTGAAATATAAAATTGAACAAAACATTAACGGATTGACATTGTCGTGTTTGAAGCATTGGTTCTCACTAAAATTTAACATACGTATTAAGCTGAATGACACCAGAATCTTTAGTGTTGATATTAGAAATAATAATAGCGACTACTAATCTGACGTTTTGACAGTAACGCGAGGAATGAGGTGGTAATTTTTTTCTTTTCTTAATTTAGTATTTCTGCAGATTTAAAAGTGTAATAACGGTGGTTTATTAACTGTATTGCAGTGTATTATTGGAGGATGAAACAAACTCGCTGGACGTAGCTTCTCGGGCTCTTCCAAAAAGTATAGAATAACATTCCAAAGAATAACATTCAATTTTCAAATTAAGTAACTACATCTCGATTCGCTTGTATGTATGTATTTAATAATAATTGTATTTTTTATACACTTGACTTTGGCAAAAATGGCGTCGCAAGAAGCCAATTGCCATACTTAAAAAAAGAAGACTTTTTCTTAACATTGATTTTATTAGAATTTTAATATAATTAATAAAATTTCGTTATACTGTCTCATTTTCAAACAGTCTTCTAATAATTTATATTATGAATTTAATATACCATCTACCTTGAAGGCCTTGAAGGTGCCTTAATTGAGTCATTTCAAAGTTCACAGTAGAAGTTTGTATTTGAACGGTCGAGGGACTCGCGAGATGACCAGCCTCGCATCGTAACTGAGAGAGGCGAAGGTCCAGGGCTCCACGGTGCTCCACTCGCTACAGTACACGGAGTCTTCGTGCTGCTCGTAGGACTGCAGCACGCCGTCCTCTAAACTGTGAACAGGGAATTTTTAAGCATTGTTATTGTTCAAGTGTTAGTCTGTGGTCAAACAGATTAGATTAATATTGTTTGTTTTTAATATTATAGTATAGTTTTGGCAAAATCTGTGATTATATTATAGAAGTAGAATAGTGTTTGACAATAGAATGCACAATAATGTTTAAACATAAAATTTCAATTAATTATAGTATAATTTCGATTACTGCGGGACCACTAGTATATATATATAAAGATTTTGTACTTACATTTTCCCGGTCTTTTCGCTATCGTCGTCCGGGTCTCGGCAGATGCTGGCGGCCGCGTACAACAAGCCCCGACCATCAGAGCTACCAGTCAACAGTAACTGTTCGTGGTAGCTGTTGTATCTTACCGTCCACACCCTGTATATAGAAACAGCGTGTTCTGACATTAGAAAAAGTTAGAAAAGAAAACTAGAGAGCGTAAATACAGATCGGATTTCTTATAGATGAACTAAAGTAGACAAGGGGGAAAAAACTAGAGAGCTTAAATACAGATCCGATTTCTTATGGGTAAACTAAGGTGTTTGTGGTGTGCCTTTTAAGTTCTTGGTTCGAATATTTTAGATGGGTGAACGAGCCCACAGCCCACCTGGCGTTAAGTGGTTACTGGAGCCCATAGACATCTACGACGTAAATGCGCCACTTACCATGAGATATAAGTTCTAAGGTCTCAGTATAGTTACAACGGCTGCCCCACCCTTCAAACCGAAACGCCTTACTGCTTCACCGTAGAAATAGGCGGGGTGGTGGTACCTACCCGTGCGGACTCGCAAGAGGTCCTACCACCAGTAATTACGCAAATAAAAATTTTGCGGGTTTTATTTTTATTACACGATGTTATTCCTTCACCGTGGAAGTCAATCGTGAACATTTGTTGAGTACGTATTTCATTAGAAAAATTGGTACCCGCCTGCGGGATTCGAACACCGGTGCATCGCTCAACAAGAATGCACCGGACGTCTTATCCGTTAGGCCACGACGGCTTCAATCTACTATCGGTATGTAACACAACTTACCAGTGAGAGTGATCGGTTCTGTTGAATATAGGCTCTTTCCCGTTCCTATAGTCCCATATGTTCAGCGCTGCGTCATCACCCGCGCTGGCCACGTGGAACTGGCTGTAGACAATATCAGTGTGGTTAGTGCGAGTTTTTTAACGTTCTCGATAGCGTAAAAGTTAACTCAAAGTTGTATGGAGTTGGAGCGTTTGCGTATGTTTGCCGCTAGGGGCGCTGTTCCAACTGCATACAAATTTTAGTTAACTTTTACGCTATCGAGAACGTTAAAAACTCGCACTAAGCACACAGGTCAAAGAAGTACAATAGTCTGCCCTATTTATCTGGCTCAAGATGCACAGATCTAGCTACATCTTCTGGACCAATCCTCTATAAACTTCTGTCGAGCCCCCCAGAACATAAGACGTATTTTTAAGGTAAAACTTCCGACTATTGTTACACGCTGCGAATGACGTAACATTTTTAACACAGTAATATAAAGTAATTATAAATTTTATATATTATATAATAGGTATATATATTTGAAATGAATTAAAGTTATATGTAACCAAAGATCATGTTAAATCTTATTATAAACTAGCCGTACTCGCCCGCTTCGCTGGGCATTTAAAATTAACATATTTATTGTCATTATTATTAGGGAGTCCAACACTCATATAAATATTAGCCTATCCATTCCCCATCCCTATAAGTACATGTATTTTCTACATGAATACCAAGTTTCAAGTCAATTGGATGCATGGTTCAGTAGTTATAACGGAACATCCGTAAAAACCACTGTAGATTTGTATGTTAGTATAGAACTCTAGATATAATATGCAATTTTTGACAGTTACCTTATTAGATATTTAACTAAAACGCAGACAATATTAGCAGCCAATAGTGTCGGATAGCTATTTCAGTGATTTATTAAAATTAAGTTTGTAGCATGACGATTTTTACTAGGGCCGCAATGAATTTGCCACGGGCCCCTGATAGCTCCGCCGCAGCAAGCTACATTCAATAGGTGATGTCCACGAGCAACGATAACGCGCCACCAAGTAATTTGTGAGATCGTCTACTTATTTTATGTATTTAAAAAATGCCTTTGTTTTCTGATGGCATAGATTAGCATTAGAGCAATTTCAGTGACGTTATAAATGTTAATCTATAACACAGATTATTCTAGGCAACGACTTCGTTGTGCATTGCTGAGGTCTATGAGCGACGGTAACCATTTATCATCAGTTGGGCCGTATGCTAGTCTGCCTACAAAAGGCAATTAAAAAAAAAGTGGACTTATTTTAGGGAAAACATGTTTCTGTGTTATTTACCGATTCGGATTGAAGTCTAGATCCCGAACTAATTGTCTATGCGCGTTGTCTATGCTCCAAGATGGTTTCGAGCAGTCAGTGCGCGTGTCGAAGCATTTTATGTGCATATCTTGCAGAACAGCAAACTGTTGATATGAAACCAAAGAAACCAATTATTCTTTTATCTTCTTAATATATANTTTAGGGAAAACATGTTTCTGTGTTATTTACCGATTCGGATTGAAGTCTAGATCCCGAACTAATTGTCTATGCGCGTTGTCTATGCTCCAAGATGGTTTCGAGCAGTCAGTGCGCGTGTCGAAGCATTTTATGTGCATATCTTGCAGAACAGCAAACTGTTGATATGAAACCAAAGAAACCAATTATTCTTTTATCTTCTTAATATATACTAGCGACCCGCCTTCGCTTCGCTTCGGAAACATTAAAACACACATGAAACAAAAAAAAAATAAAAAAAAAAAAAAAAACAAGTAGCCTATGTTCATCAGGGACAATGTCGGCTTCTAATGGAAAAAGAATTTTTCAAATCGGTCCAGTAGTTTCGGAGCCTATTCGAAACAAACAAATAAACAAATCTTTCCTCTTTATAATATTAGTATAGATAAACTACGTGTCACATTATTTGTCCGCGATGGACACCTAAACTACTGAACCGATTTTAACCTAATTTTTTTTAAATAAGGGGTTTGATCCAATTTAGGCCATAGGATGGTTTTTATTTCGATGAATGGTCGTAATATTTATTAATTAACAATACAATGATTTCTTATGTTGACTATTATTATTAATTGTAAGTTTCATAAGTCTAAAACAGATGGCGCCTTAAATCAGTTTTACAGACTTGTAATACTGTCTGACATTAACATCTCATAGATGGCGCTGTGTTAAAAATAACAAAGTTTCACTTAAGCTACAATTTAACGGCATAAACACCACGTGTTGCTGAGACTAAAGTATAAGTGAAATTGATTTCGTAGTAAAGGAAATACAGTGTAATCCAATTGGTCTTATGTACTTTGTTACTTTTTGGTATTAGCATAGCCAGCCGCGTGTTTTTTTAGAAACAAAAACTTTAGCCATAGCAACGTGTGGTCGGGTCTTCTAGTTATATTATATTACTTTACTGTACATTGTAAGTGTTAACTATGTTTACCAAGGGAAAATCAATTCTAGGCATTTATAGATAGGGGTCATGTATCCTGAGAATGTCTAGACGGGGTGCCATTGCAAAGTATAGAAGCCAGAGAAAGAATTGTCTAAATTAAAAGATCTGGAAAATAAAACTAAATTAATATTATAATAATATGTCGTGTCATGTCTATGATTGTTCTTGATTATGGTCCCAGACAACATAGCCTGGACAGTTCCGAGCCTGTTTTTGTGGCGATATTTTTTTTAATGGCCTGGACGTTTGACCCGAACATCTGTTTAACAATTATTGTTTAATAACAGTAAAATGGAACGTAATTTAATGAAATTGTTGTTAACTACGAGATAATATGAAACTATGGGAATTTATGGAGTGCAAATTCGTTTTTTGGGATGATGATTTGTGCATCTTAGCAGAAACATTAAATTGATATTTAAAAAAAAAACAATTTCCTTAACGTCATAATTGACGCCAAGAAGTCTGTGTATCACGACGCAGTAGCCCTAAATATGAGTAAGCCATGATTTTAGAACGCACCTGAGTGTGACCTTGATGCGGGTTCCACTTGCCGGCAGTGAGCTTGAGCCTGGTCCGACCGTCAGATTTCATGCTGCACACCGCAGCTCCAGAGCTGACGTCGTGTACCCTCACGCTGGACTCGTATACGACACCCAAGCGCCCCGCGTCCGTAGGATGCCACTCAGCGCAACGGATCTCCTCTTCGGCCTTCTAGATTTTTTTTATGACACATTGTATGCGAGAGCACTGATTTCTGGAACCCATTCAGTCTGCAGATATCGTGGGGACAGAGAAACTAAAGGTCGTAGATAAAAAATAATATATCCTACTATAACCCTATATTAAGAATGGTCAGGAAGTATAACGATTTGGCTAAATGTCACGGAGACCTTGATATTTTTTAACCTTGAGTCTAGTTCAAAGGATATGCCAGATGTATTTTTTTTATAACCCTTGTAGGCAAACGAGCACACGGCCCACCTGATGGTGAGTGGTTGCCGTCGCCCATGGACTTCAGCAATGCCAGGGGCAGAGCCAAGCCGCTGCCTACTGTACAGTGGCCAGTTGTCGATATTGAATGTGTGAGAATTAATCTTGATTATGTTATAACCTGGAAAGGGATTAATATTTGTGTTGGTTGTATTGTAGTTATCTAAATAATGGATACTTCTTGTTGTTTTTTTCTTTCACTGGAACTCGTAATTTTATTTGTAATTTTGTTGAAGTGAAAACTTCTTTAGAATCGTTGTGATTTCAAACCGGATGCAACGGAAAAAACGACAGGTAAGAGACACAAATACAAAAATGTGTAGGATGAAGCCAGCAAAGAATGAGACAGAAATATACATACTATTTAATACAGCGCCATCTGTGAGATTTTTTAATACTAACGTGTGTATGAAAGCTCTTGTAGTGAATTTTAATTTAGGATTATACGTGAAATTAAAATATCAATTCACNACCCAGTCGTAGCCGATGTTCCACAAGAGAGGGCCAAGGACCGACCCCTGTGGAACACCGCGCTGGACGGGGAAGCGGAGCACCGCCCCACCGTGCCCGGTGCACATGACCGACCTGTCCTCGAGGTAGGACCCGATCAGCCGACGGAGATACGCAGGGACGCCGTGATACTCCAGCGCCCCTGCGATCACCGACCAGGGCAGGGTGTTGAACGCATTGGCGATGTCCAGGGACACCGCCAGTGCAACCCCGCCCCGGCCGACAGCCTCATCAGAGAGGGCGCGCACGCGCATCACCGCGTCGATGGTCGAGCGGCCCTCTCTGAATCCGAACTGCTCCGTTAACAGATCGGGACCCACTCCCGCCAAGTGCTGGACGATGCAGGCGGCCACCACTCGCTCGAGCAGTTTTCCCGCCTCGTCCAGCAACACGATTGGACGGTACCCCGCAGGTGAAAAGAAATCATGCTGCATCAACCCTACGCAGTGGAATAAAAGCAAAATGAAGAAGAACAAATAACGAATAGAAATAGAATATAATAGAAAAAATAAGCCTGGACGATTTAAAAACTAAAATAAATTTGAATTTAGGATACCTATAGAAATTTTTTTTTTCGGTATAGTCAATATGCTTGTATCCAAATCGGTCCTTATCGATTTCAGCAGTATTTGACTTAGACTGACATTATTAAGAATTGTATTTAAAGTTCTTACCTCTGGTTTAATCGTTACTAGTAATTCCAAGTCTTCAGCATTACGTCCTTGTAATGAGCTTAATTCGTCCAGATCCTTGGGAATTACCTACAAAAGAATTATAACTGAATATGATTGACAGTAAATTGAGATCACCGGTTACTGAATAACCAACTTTGAATAAAAAGGGGAAATGGTTGAAGTTTCATACTTAAGAAATCCTTTCTTCCATCAAATTCATACATATGTGAAGTATGTATTTCCTTAAATTAATGCCTGCCTGTCGAGTTTAAATGCTGATAGACAAATTGTTCAATAAGGGTTCACAGAGCAAATTATTCTTTGATGTTAGTTCTTCCAATTTTTGGATGGTTACTATCAATCTAATGAACATAATATGGTGATTATTCCTAGATTTAATTATTTTATTGCTAATGTAAAATTAATACTCACTTGTAATGTAGGAAGCTTGAAGATAGATACCCCCATAGTGCACTGCAAGGTATTAGGGTCATAGGTGTTATGAGTTGTGACGAGATTAGCAGCATCATGTGGTGAACAACGAAGGTGCCATATCTCTCCTATGTCATGTTTGAAAACCTGTACAATTAAAATTAACAGTTTTTATTTATCAAAATTTTTAGAGAAGTATATCAGTGGTAGACCATAGTAAGACTATCATTACACAGTAGCTGGATTTCATTCCAATTTATGAACTCAAACAAGATCCAACAATGTAATACTGTCTAAAATATGCATCTGCTAAATCTCATTTCAAATCTTATTGTTCTGTTTATATTTATTGAATGCAATAAAATTTACTTTGTGTGTTTCAAAGACTTCAAGTTCTCTTCTCGAAGGAGTTAAATTAATTGTTGATAAATATAATTCTTAATTTTGGAACCATAATAGACTTCTGAAACAGTTCTATTTAAAAAATCGCACATATGCCAACTGGTATTGAAATCTATAACAAGCTCTCTTTCTCCTTTCTGTCTTATTACCCTCTGCTGAGGTGTAGGGCTCGAATCAAATTCTTCCATTTGCATCGGTTTTGGCTAGTCTGTTCTACCTTCTCCCACCACAAGCTTAATTATACAAAATTCAATCTAATAGTTCTAAGTTTACGATATAAAGAATATCAGAGTAAAAATTGATTTTTTATCTGACCTTAGTATGCAAGGCTCCAGTATCTTCCTCTAACTCAACAACATGTACTTGGTTCGAGTTCGGTTTGAGGCTCTGTGTGCCAATCAAGAACCTTATTGCCTCACTTTCAGCATATTGTGGTGATAACGATCTAGTCTGAAACACAATTTTTTTTTTCAGATCAGTGATTTCTAGCCTACCAGGTATTGTGATTACTAGGACAATAGATATAACAAAGTGAATTCCACCTTCAGGTTGCCAGGAATTCTACAGTTCAAACCGGAACTGGTTTGCAACAGAAAAAGGCAGTTTAACATAATTTAACTCACAATTTTGTCACTGTTAGACAATTTACAAACAATACTCTATTTACGTATTTTAGTTTCAAGTACGCGTAAAATCTATAGCATTAAGAAAGTAGTTTAATACATCCGAGTGATAAGTGATGTTTTTGGTACATTTTCACACTTGGAATTCGGATTTTTAAAATTTAATTAAGGGATAATTTCTCATTTTATTTTTACCTGATGCTCAAGTCCGTATATGATGGAGTTTCCATCCTCCATTGTGATTAATGTTTAAGTTGTATTTTACATTAAATTAGTAACCGTAAAAGGTGCGAAGAAGGTTGAAGGTTCCTCTGTTTCGATTATAAATTATAATAGGTATGACCCAAATTGTCAGACGTTATATCTTATACTGTTCGAAAATTATCTGAAATACGGATTTTAAATTATTTTTCCACAGACACGAAACCATAACAGCATAATCAAAATAAATAATTAAATAAAATACTTTAACATGTGTTATTCCATTAAATACAAATAAGGATAAAAACTACACTTCGAGACTTTTTTGAAACAACTTTTTGTCAGAAAACATACACCTACCGTATTTAATAAGCGTAATCTAAGAAAACAATTAATGAAAAATAATGAAAATTCATCAAATTTGTTATTGTTTTTTTTTTGCTGGATTCGTTCATTGGACAGGCGAAGGGAATAATGCCAATTCTGTCAAAAGTGTCAAAGTGTTTGATAACGAAATGAAATGAGGTAAGATAAAACGACATCGTAGGTGTTGGATGTGATCAAATTAAATTATTGGAAATTAAAGTTTTGGGAATTTGCTCAGCGTTCATTGGAACGTTCATCAGTCATCAATAATAGCATTCCGTTGTTTTCTTATTTACTAACTAAAATTCATATTAACTGTTTGCTATTTTCTTTTTTTGAAACTCTCTTTTATTTTTGCGGCCACTTTTAACGGCTTAAAGTATTTGACATCAAAAAGATAAGTTTAAAAGTTTTTTATTTACTCATGTAAATATAATACATTGTGTGAAATACGGTAATAAGACTTTTTTTGTAAAAACTGGCGCCACACTGAGACTTTGCCGGCACATAAAAGTGCCGCTACTTAGTAATTGAGGGGATTGAGAGGGCAAATAAAATTGCAACTATTTTTGGAAATTATTTTCTCGTAAGCTTTAATATTCATCTCCAAATGTTGTTTCTATGAGCCTAGTGACAGCTAGATATAAAGATGCCAGAGCTGATCGTGGGACGTCTTGTGAGCCCATACGTCTATTTCTGCCTCAAAGCCAAACGCGTTGGGATTTGAAGGGTGGGGTAGCCGTTGTGCTATAGAACTGGGACTTAGAACTCATATCTCAAGTTAGGTGGGCATGTAGATGTGACTTTTGTAGATGGAACATTTGGTTCACGCGCATGCCCGACCGAATAAACTAGGAGGCCATGATCCCCGCCAAGAAAAGAAAAAGCATTGTACGGTACATTTTTACATTTATGTAAAATAAACATTTTATTATTTTATTTAAGCGTCCTAAATACGTTGTTAATATATATGGGCCCCAGTAACCATTAAACATTGGGCCGTAGTCTCTATCACCTACGCATGTCAGCAATAAAAAAAGATGCTCTCAGTGCCAAATTTTTCTACCAAAGCCTTTAGGTTTGTCTTCATTTATTTGACTTATGGCGAAATTGCTTTGGGCTGTATCTAAAAGTTAAAAGAAAAATATTAATTTTAATTACACAAGCAATGAAACGTAGTACGTTGTAGTACGCCTAAGTATTATAATGTATGACACAGCGGATATCGTATGAGAATGGACCGGAACCGCTAGCGATAAGTGTGGTATAGCCGTGGGAACATCCTGATTGTGATATCAACGCAGGCGCTTAGATTACGGTCGAGCACGATAGACGCTCGTGCTTAATTGAGGCATCAAATACTTCGTTCTAAATAAATTCTGAACGTGCTCCCATAGATAATACACATAATATTAAAGATGTGTACTGGCCAGTATCGGTGATACGTGATAACGCTGTGAAAAGAGTTTTGAAACTTAGGTTCGTTTTAAAAAAATTAAAATAAATAGGTTATTAGGTTCTACCTATAGACAGATCTATAGATATATTTAAAAATTTTTAGGCGATGTGACCGATTTCTATGAAATTTTCAGAACATCTCGAGAAAAAGAGATAAAGTATCATCATCAACGCACGAATTGTTGGCACCCGTGCAGTTTCGATAAGTGTGTATATTTTGTACATTTAGTAACAATCACTGAGACTGACAGAGACTGACTCAGTGGTGCAGTAGTTAGCACTCCTGACTGTTGCGCTGGAGAGGCTATTTCAGCGTAACCTTAACTAGTAGGTGAGCTCACGGGGCTCAAATCGGAGAGTTGCTAACACTGACCCTAGCAAGAGCAGTGCTTCGCAGAATCTACCACCAGATCGGAAACGCGACCCACTGAGAAGATCCGGCGAGAAACTCAGTGGGCTGTGTCTATGGGTTAATTCGCTCGTCGATCCCTTCGTCGCAAGCGACGGGTTCGACGAGGACGGTGACTGGTGCTTGTGGTTCTATATGTAGGAGAAGATCATTAGTTTGATAGCAAAACGAAGCGCAACACGATTCCCGAGAGATGACAACATGATCTTAATGTCGTCGGAGCTCGGCTAACTTCGTGATACAACAGAGCCTCGCCGATGGAGGTGCGCATAGACGCCATTCAAACTTACCAACCAGCCTTCTTAAAGAGCGGTGCCTCCGTCCTAAGAATGATTTTCAGATGTAACTATATGAACGAGAACTCATTAAATGCGAAAATCGTGGTATGAGCTTGTTATATAGTAAAATAGTGTTTATAACGTTGATACGCCGGAAAGTTTACTGGTGGTAGGACCTCTTGTGAGTTTACTGGTGGTAGGACCTCTTGTGAGTCCGCGCGGGTGGGTACCACCACCCTGCCTATTTCTGCCGTGAAGCAGTAATGCGTTTCGGTTTGAAGGGTGGGGCAGCCGTTGAGTAGAACTTGTATCTCAAGGTGGGTGGCGCATTTACGTTGTGGATGTCTATGGGCTCCAGTAACCACTTAACACCAGATGGGCTGTGAGCTCGTCCATACATCTAAGCAATAAAAAAAAAAAAAAAAAGTTTAATGCATAGTATGTAATGACGATTCTAAGAAAAGCACAAAACAATATAGCTACCTACGCTATTCGCAACCGCAGTCAATAATGATTCAGTAGTAAAAATATGACGTGTTAACCCGCCACAGATCATCGTAAAAATGTATTTTAGGTGGGAAAACGAAAAAAATAATGCGATAAAATTAAAAACAGCGGAAAGAACACAAACATCTGCGCTCTACTGTGACGTGTTTTGATTTATGGGATTATTTGAACGTGTAGGACGATAATGTACTTACCCCGGTAACCTATGACATGTCCTTCTTCAAACGAGGCTTGTGGAGAGTATTAAGCGGTAGGCAGCGGCTTGGCTCTGCCCCTGGCATTGCTGAAGTCCATGGGCGACGATAACCACTCACCATCAGGTGAGCCGTTGCCCGTCTGCCTACAAAGGCAATAAAAAAATAAAAATAAAAAATAACCGTACTCGTCGAACTCGGCAAAGAGTTCGATGGGAAACCTAACTCATGCATCAGCCCATTGAGTTTCTCACCGGATCTTCTCAGCGGGTCGTGATTTCTATCCGGTAGTAGATTCATTCGCGAAGCAGCTGCTCTTGAGTTGTTAGGTCTCATCTCCTGGCTGAGCCTTTGCTCGCCCGCCTGTCCTGGTGAAACTAGAAAGGCCTCCGGGTCACCAGTAAGTAATGCTTCAATCATTTAAAAATGTACCTCTAAAAATATATAACTTATAACGACGCAATCGTTTTTCATTATTGACTGACTAACGTAAGACTAAAAAGACAAGGTAGAAATGTTGAACGCTTCGAAAATGACTACCTTCGAATGATTAAAAGTACCAATGATTTTTTTTATTGGCCTTTTAGGCAGACGACCACTCGGCCCACCTGATGATGGTTTAACGGCCGTCTGGTGTAGAGGGTAAGTGACATGGTCACTACACAAGGGGGTCGCGGGTTCGAATCCCGCCAAGGGAAGATATTTGTATGATAAATATAAATGTCTTTTCCAGGGATATGGATGTGTATTAAAATATATGTATGTATGTGTATAATAAAAATCTTACATTTATATCCGTTGTCTGGTACCTGTAATACAAGTTCTTTACGAACTTATCACGGGACCAGTTAACGTTTCGTGATTTTTAGTAAATATTTATTTATTAAAAAAAAAATGGTTACCTTCGCCCATGGACGTCAGCAATGCCAGGGGCAGAGCCGCTGCCAGCAAATTGTCGCTTTGAGGTTTTATGTTGACACTAGACGGTTGTAATATCGATAAGTTATTGTTATTGGCAGCGTTCGCGGCCTATACTCGTCGAAATCAGCTATCTTCTTAAGGAAATGACATACCCACCTGGTGCAGGGATGACTTGCGAAGGGTGGCCGTCAAGAAATAACCGAGGAAAGCAGAAGACCAGGATCAGCGTCCTCATCAGGATCAGGATCATTATTATCAGCCCCCAGTAGTGGTGACGATGTATCCACTACGTATTTCCGAATGACTTTCACGGTAATTGTAAATTTCAGTAATTCGATACACTGCATCTGAATGGCTACATTGGATAGTTATAGTACCGTTAGTTTTATCAACAATTTTGTTGTATTTTTTTTTTTTATAATTTTATTATTTTGCCGTGGATTTTTTCCGTGATTAAAGATTAACAGCAATGAGCTAAACAATAAGGCATATAATTAGCAATTACTATTGTGACACTGTGTTACTGTGACAGAGATCAATGGAAAGGACTGGAGGTGGCCTTCACCCGAGGATTGATCCTTATCCAATAACAAAATCTAGCTCTTACTAACATTTAGACAATAAGCAAAACATTAATAACTAACTAAACATTAACAAACAAATACCACATTTGAAATGAAAGTTAAGGATAAGCTAGAAGTCGTCGTGGCCTAAAGGATAAGACGTCCGGTGCATTCGTGTTGAGCGATGAACCGACGTTCGAATCCCGCAGGCGGGTACCCATTTTTCTAATGAAATACGTACTCAACAAATGTTCACGATTGACTTCCACGGTGAAGGAATAACATCGTGTAATAAAAATGAAACCCGCAAAATTATAATTTGTGTAATTACTGGTGGTAGGACCTCTTGTGAGTCCGCACGGGTAGGTACCACCACCCCACCTATTTCTGCCGTGAAGCAGTAATGCGTTTCGGTTTGAAGGGTGGGGCAGCCGTTGTAACTATACTGAGACCTTAGAACTTATATCTCAAGGTGTGTGGCGCATTTACGTTGTAGATGTCTATGGGTTCCAGTAACCACTTAACACCAGGTGGGCTGTGAGCTCGTCCACATAGCTAGGCAATAAAAATAAAAAGCTAGGCTTTTTATTTATTATTTTATACTGTAACAACA